ATCAGCACTTACACCCGTATCTACACCCAGTGATCACTTTCTTGTCCTTAGCTTATGAGGTCCCCAGAAGCTTTCAGCACAGTTGCCAGCTCTCCCCTGATGATATGGTTGGATTTGTGTCTCCATCCAAATCCCATGTTGAATTATAATCCCCAGTGTTGGAGGTGGGGCCTCTTAGGAAGTGACTGGATCATGGGAGTGGATTTCCCCTTCGTTGTTCTTGTGATAGTGAGTTCTCACAAGATCTGGTTGTTTGAAAGTGTGTGGCTCCTCCCACTCCACTCTGTCTTCCTCGTTTTCTGGCCATGTGAGATTTGCCTGTTTCCCCTTTGCCTTCTGCCATGTTGTAAGTTTCCTGAGGCGTCTCCAGCCATGCTTCCTGTACAGCTGTGGAACTGAGTCAATTAAACCTCTTTTCTTTATAAATTACACAGTCTCGGGCCGGGCATGGTGGCTCACGTCTGTAATCCAAGCACTTTGGAGGCCAAGGCGGGCAGATCACCTGAGGTCGGGAGTTCAAGACCAGCCCAACCAACATGGTGAAACCCCATCTTTAAAAAAAATAAATAAATAAGAAAACAAATAAATAAATAAATAAATCACCCAGTCTCAGTTAGTTCTTTATAGCAATGCAAGAATGGACTAACAACACATCTGAATACTTTCTTCTAAAACATATTATTTTTAGAGACGGGGTTTGGCTACGTTGCCCAGGCCGGTCTCAAACTCTAGGCCTCAAATGACTCACCCACTTCAGTCTTGCAAAGTGCTGTGATTACAGGAACGAGCCACCATACTCAGCCCACTTGTTTTTTTTTTTTCTTTTGAGATGGAGTCTTGCTCTGTTGCCAGGCTGGAGTGCAGTGGCACAATCTCAGCTCACTGCAACTTCCACCTCCTTGGTTCAAGTAATTCTCCTGCCTCAGCCTGCTGAGTGGCTGGGATTACAGGCATATGCCACCAAACCCAGCTAATTTTTGTATTTTTAGTAGAGACGGGGTTTCACCATGTTGACCAGGATAGTCCCAGTCTCCAGACCTCATGATCCACTTGCCTCGGCCTTCCTAAGTGCTGGGATTACAGACATGAGCCACTGCGCCTGGCCACCCAGACCACTTTCTAGAATTATAATTATTATTTACAAAACTTTCTTTCCTCTTACCTCACTTATCACTGTTGTGCTCTAATTTGTTAGTTTTTCTTTCCCTGGTTGTCCTACAAACGTTAAAGTCCCCAGGACTAGGCTCTAAGCCTGACTTTCCTACACCACCACACACACATGCTCAATGATGTACTTCTTCACCATGGTTTTATACTGTCCATGAACTGTCACTTCCAAATCTCCCTGGAACTCAACTTGATAACCACAACTGTCCACTTTATACCTCCACTTCAATGTCCACAAGACATCTCAAAATGAACAAGTCCAGGACAAAAACATTTTTCTTTGATGTGTGGTTCTTTCTGGTTATCAGAGACTCAGTAAATAGCATCCACCCTCATTCAGTTACTTAAGCCCATAATTTTTTTTTTTTTTTTTGAGACGGTGTTTCACTCTTGTTACCCAGGCTGGAGTGCAATGGCGCTATCTCGGCTCACTACAACCTCCGCCTCCTGGGTTCAGGCAATTCTCCTGCCTCAGCCTCCTGAGTAGCTGGGATTACAGGCACGTGCCACCATGCCCAGCTAATGTTTTGTATTTTTAGTAGAGATGGGGTTTCACCATGTTGACCAGGATGGTCTCGATCTCTTGACCTCGTGATCCACCCGCCTCGGCCTCCCAAAGTGCTGGGATTACAGGCTTAAGCCACCGCGCCTGGCAAGCCCATAATTTTAATGTATCCTTAATTATTCCTATTTTTTTTCAATTCTCTATTTTTTTTTTAATTGAGACAGAATCTCCCTCTGTCACCCAGGCTGGAGTACAGTGGTGTGATCTCAGCTCACTGCAACCTCTGCCTCCTGAGTTCAAGTGATTCTCCCACCTCGGCCTCCCAAGTAGCAGCTGGGATTATAGGCATGCATTACCCAACCCGGCCAATTTTTGTATCTTCAGTAGAGACAGGGTTTCACCATGTTAGATGGACTGGTCTAAAACTCCTGACCTCAAGTGATCCACCTGCTTCAGCCTCCCAAAGTGCTGGGATTACAGGTATGAGTCACCCTGCCTGGCCTCAATACTCTATTGTAACCTTTTCACATGTCTTATCTGTCAGGTGTTCCTGTGGACTCTGCATTCAAAATCTGTACTGAATTATCTTCTCCCTGGTCCTAGCAGTAGAAGGAACATTTACCACTCACCCTACTACTCACCAAATCCCCCCGCCTTCCCTGTACTTTTCCTACAACCTATTCTCCACAGAAAAGCTGGAGCGATACTATACAAAAGTACTTCAGATAATAAATTTGTATTTTATACAAATAGTAATTTATTTGCATTTCCCAGAAAGCTAAGTGCACACTATTCCTGGCTCACAGCAGCCACAATGACCAGCCTCTCTCTGAACTCATGTTCCACTAGCTTCCCTCTTGTTCATGAGGCCCACTGGTCATGGGCTGCTTTCCTGTCATGCAGCCATCATGAAGGCACACCCTGGCTTCGGACCCAGCATAAACCCTTCCTTCTGAGCTGCTTGTTGATTGTGTGTCTTTGCGGACTCTTTTTTTTTTTTTTTTTTTTGAGATGGAGTCTCACTCTGTTGCCCCGGCTAGAGTGCAGTGGCGCAATCTTGGCTCATTGCAACCTCTGCCTCCTGGGTTCAAGCAATTAACCTGCCTCAGCCTCCTGAGTAGCTGGGATTACAGGCAGATGCCACCACACCTGGCTAATTTTTGTATTTTTAGTAGAGATAGGGTTTCACCATGTTGACCAGGCTGGTCTCGAACTCCTGACTTCAAGTGATCCACCTGCCTTGGCCTCCCAAAGTGCTAGGATTACTTGCGTGAGCCACTGAGCCTGGCGTCTTTGTGGACTCTTGTTTGATAACCAAATCAGAGAAGCTAATGTCACTTTCTTCAACAAAGCCATTACATTTTATGTCATCACTGGCACTCTACCACTTTGCAATAAACCTATGAAGGTAGTATCTCTATTGTTACTATTTTTTATAAGAACACATTAAGTGCTGTGAGCTTCAGTAACTTGCCCAAGAGTACTTAACTACTATGTAGTGAATCTAGAACAAACCTATCCAGTCTGCTCCAGGGTTCACGTCTGTCATCACTGTGCAATCCGACCACAGAATGAGCTAAAATACAGCAGGTGCTTACTATTTATTGATGTGGTTTAGGTGTTTGGAATATGTTAATTTATTCTTGGGAGGCAGTGGGTAGTTGTTCTTTGATATTGCTGAGATTAAGCAATAAACATATAAATGGCAGAAATAATTTTCAAATCTTGGTTCTGAATATACATCTTTTTTTTTTTTTTTGGGTTAAAATTTTCCCCTGGCACCAAGGCTGGCGTGCAGTGGTGCAATCTTAGCTCACGACAACGTCTGCCTCCTGGCTTCAAGCAATTCTTGTGCCTCAGCCTCCCAAGTAGCTGGGACTACAGGTGCGTGCCACCACCCCTGGCTAATTTTTGTATTATTAGTAGAGACGGTGTTTCACCATATTGGCCAGATTGGTCTTGAACTCCTGACCTTATGATCTGCCCGCTCTGGCCACCCAAAGTGCTGGGATTACAGGTGTGAGCTACCACACCCAGGGAATATACATCTTTGCTATAACTATGATGTCACATTGTCTTAAATAAAATGATCATAGATTTCTTATTCACCTCTGTGTTCCCCACATTTAGATTCTGGGACATCCTGGGAAATTGGAAAAATAAATATAAAGTTACTCCTTGATATGGTTTAGTTCTGCGTCCCCACCCAAATCTTCTCTTGAATTATAATCCCCATGTGTTGGGGGAGGGGCCTAATGGGAGGTGACTGAATTCATGGGGGTGGGGTGGACATCCCCCTTGCTGTTCTCATGACAGTGAGTGTGTTCTCACGAGATCTGGTTGTTTGAGCTCTTTTTCTCCTGCAGCCAGGTAAGATTTGCATTGCTTCTCCTTCACCTTTTGTCATGACTGTAAGTTTCCTGAGGTATCCCTAGCCTTGTGGAACTGTGAGTCAATTAAACCTCTTTTGTTTATAAATTACCCAGTCTCAGGTATTTCTTTACAGCAATGCAAGAACAGCCTAATACAGGCTTAATCCACTTCCAAGTGTTTACTGTGCAAAATGCTGGCCAGGTGCTATGTATGATAAAAGAGCACAACAGGCCCTGGCTACAGGGAGCTTCCAGTCTAGTGACAAAATGATTAATTCAGAATAGACTAAGCATGAGAAAGAACAGATACGGTACTGAGGAAAGTTGGAGAAAGATTGCATTTGGTTGACAGAATTAGGAAAAGTTCATGAAGGAGATGGTATAAAACACTAGCCTAGAAAAAAATAGAATTTTAGAGGCCACGCATGGTGGCTCATGCCTGTAATCCCAACACTTTGGGAGCCCGCAGTGGGCAAATCCCTTGAGGTCAAAAGTCAAGACCAGCCTGGCCAACATGGTAAAATCCCATCTCTATTAAAAATACAAAAATCAGCTGGGCATGATGGTGGGCACCTATAATCCCAGCTACTAGAAAAGCTGAGGCAGGACAATCACTTGAACCCATGAGGCAGATGTTGAAGTGGGCGGAGTCTGTGCCACTGCACTCCAGCCTGGCTGAGTGAGACTCCACCTCAATTAAAAAAAAAAAATAGGATTTTAATAAGCAGGGAGTACTCGGAAGCGGGCACTGAGGGGAGGCAATGTACACAAAGGCCAGGGCAAGGGGTGCCACAAATTATAAGCACCATGAAAGAGGAAGGCTATAGGAAAGGACTCTGGAAAACTACCCAAGCAACATGCAAGAACTACACACTGGTGAGAGACTTTCACAGCCCTCACAGATGCCCATCCCAATAACGAGGGGCATGAGGTCACAAACACAGTTGCAGTCTTACCTTTTCTGAATGAGTCCAGGCTGAACACTCTGGCCAGGAGGGAAAGCTGGAATCCTGAGAACAAGGAGGGCCAAGGGGCAATGGTTAATATTCCTGGTCCAGGAACCCACAAAGAAGACGCCAGTAACACAGACAGCACTATCCAGAAGATGAGAAAAGTGACACTCTTCACTAATGAGCCCCAACTGCTGCTCCCCAGTCTTGAGGACTGGAAGGCCAGCTCCACTCTATTTTTTTTTCTTTTTGTTTTTACCTGCAACTGTCTTTTTGCATAACTCGACCAGCTCCACTATAGAGTAATTGTCTTTGCTTCTTTGTAAATGAACACTTTTTTATCTTCTCTGTCCTAAAATTCCCCACACCCTGTTAAACTGAAGGGGATGCATTTCATCATGAGAGACATATAGTTCTACCTAGTTCATCATAATACTTGCAGGTTTCCATGGGACTTCTAGGAAGAAACTAAATTCTACATGAACCCCCTTCTGTCACATGACAGCAGGAAACAGGACTGATGACTGCCTTATGGGCAAACTGGCTTACTGTGCTTTCATAAAACCTAGTCAAGCCCCTAAAAATGAGATTTGACTGACAGTATCAAAGAATAACTGTACAGTGATTCAGAATAAAAAGATTTTCATAGCAGAGTCCCTACGAAAGAAATAACAAATATTAAGTTAAAGCAAAACTATTTGCCAAAAGTTTTGGTGCATTTTGCTTAATAGCAAATTAAACGGAGGAATACACCTAGAGATGACAAGAAAAAGAAGCAACACTTCTGGTTTAACTTTTTTTTTTTTGAGACAGAGTCTCGCTCTATCGCCCAGGCGGGAGTGCAGTGGCTCAGCTCAGCTCACTGCAACCTCTGCCTCCCGGGTTCCAGTGATTCTCCTGCCTCAGCCTCCTGAGTAGCTGGGATTACAGGCGCACGCCACCACGCCAAGCTAATTTTTGTATTTTTAGTAGAGACGGGGTCTCACCATGTTGGCCAGGATGGTCTCGATCTTTTGATCTCGTGATCCGCCTGCCTCAGCCTTTCAAAGTGCTGGAATTACAAGCATGAGCCACCATGCCTGGCCAACAATTTTGTTGTAAAAAATACTCAAACTCGCCGGTCGCGGTGGCTCATGCCTGTAATCCTAGCACTTTGGGAGGCTGAGGCGGGCGGATCACCTGAGGTCAGGATTTCAAGACGAGCCTAACCAATATGGTGAAACCCCATCTTTATTAAACAAACAAACAAACAAAATCCAAAAAAAAAAAAAACCCCTCAAACTCGGCCGGGGCAAAATAGGGAAGCCAGAAGGCACCGGGCATCCTTCTGGACTAACGGTCCCGGCAGCACCGGGAGGGAGGAGAAGCAAACAAAGGTCTCACACTCTGGAGGCTTCCTCAAGGCCCTGCCTGGGGAAACGGAGCATCCCCTGAGGCGAGGGCGTCGTTGCGCCAACGAAACGGCCTTTCTCGCGGCCTCTGCGGAATCCCTGGCGGCAAGGCCCGGCTGACCGGTCTCCATGGCAACGGCAAACCTAGGCCCGCCCGGCTTCCCAGGCAGGGCAAGGATGCCCGGCCTGCTCCTCGGGCCCGCCGGCTTCTCCGGCCCACTCTCCGCCTGGCCGGCGGTCCGACCGGGTCCTCTCCTCGCGCTGACAAACCTGGCCGCGGCAGACTCCTCAAGAGGGCACGAAAGGGCAGAATAAAAACCCCAATTCACCTGCTACAGATTTTGAAACAAGCCTCTGGGCACCGCGCACGAGCCGCCGGTGCCCCAACAGCTGTCAGACTACAACTCCCAGTAACGGCGGCGCGGCCCCTTCCGGGTCCCGTGGCGGAAGTCCCGCCACCGGCCAGGCGCTCCCTGTCCCGCGCCACTGAGCCCGTCTGCCGCGTGAGGCCCCGCGCCTTCGCGGGCCTCAAACCTGGCCCCATCTGGGGCTAGTCGTGGCCGCCCAGAGCTCACACCAGGGAAGGCGCATCTGCGGTGATGCCCCAGGATCCGACCCAATGGGGCGCGTCGACGGCGCAGGCGGGACTTCCGGCGGAGTAGCGAAGGGGACTGGCGTGCGCTGGCAGCTCTAGGGTTGTGGAACTAGCAAGTCGGGGTGGTGGGAGCGAGTCGGGGGCGACGGGGTCGGGGGTAACGCTGCCGTCTTTCACAGCGACTTAGCTGCCTGCAGTGTGAGAGCGAGGAGAGTCTTCATGCCCTCTGTGCGCCAGCTGCCCCTCCCGGTGCGAATAAATACACTGGGTCACTGCTGAGCGGGTAGCGGTTTCCAGCTCAGGCTGCAGGATTCCACCCGCCTTCCCCACCACAGCTCGTAGCCACGCCTTTTCTTTTCTCCATCTCTCTGATCTTCTGGGGTGTTTTGGATGGGGGAGATGAGCATTTTTGCCTCCCTAGGTTGCTGGGAAGATGAAATCAACGTGTTAGTTGATTTCGTAAACTGTACAACGCTAGGGAAAGGACAAGGTAGCACTTGCTGATCGCGGGGAGAGTGCCAGTCACAGTTGCTGGAGGTCTGGAGGTCCCGCCCCGGCCACATCACCTCTTAGGAATGAGAAAAGGGATTGTCCCAATTATAGGTTGTGTTCCTTTAGATAAGGTTCAAGTATATGTTCAGTGGAATCCACCTTAAAATGGAAACCACGCGGTGGCGTAGCTCTGAGACTGGGTCAGGATTTTACAGAATATGCTTTTAGGATGTGGCCTTTGAGGCTGTAGGAATAATCAGCGCCATATGCCGTCACTTTTTTTTTTTTCCACTCAGAAAATGATTCGGTTCCGATGCATGCCGTCACTTTTGTGTGCAAACAATTAAACAAATACCTATTATTTTGCCACCACATTGACTAGAAGGCTGGGGTGTGGAACATCATACACTCATTCAAATAATTAGTACATTTGAACAGGGCATGGTGTTGTATTGCGGGGAATAGAGAGATCCTGCACGGATATCTGAGTGCACTGTGTATCACCAGTTGGTAAGCAGGTGTGGAGGATACAAGGCCCTGCCTCAAAGGGCTTAGAACCTAGTAGAGAAGATGACAACACTGTATGAAGGAAATGGAAAGTGGTAAATGCTGGAAAGGAGGCATCAAGTGCTACAAGAGTTCGGAGACAGGCGTGGTTACTCCTGAATGGCAGAATGAAAGGAACGTGAACAAAGACGTCCAAGTGGAACAAGGGGCAAACCCTAGGAATATTCAGTTCAGTGTGACCTGAGGGTTGTGTGTGTGTGTGCAAGCTTTACAGGAAGTAGAACAGAAAAAGAGCTGGGAGTGCCAAACTAAGGAATTTTACTTTTTGTGGTAAAACATTTAAAAAATTATTAGTAGAGTAAAATACTGTACTTTTTTGTTGTTGTTGAGACAGTCTCAAGTCACCCAGGTTGGAGTGCAGTGGTGTGACCTCCGCTCACTGCTACCTCTACCTCCCGGGTCCAAGCAATTAATGTGTCTCAACCTCCTAAGTAGCTGGAATTACAGGGGCGCCCTACCACGCCCGGTTACTTTATTTTTAGTAGAGTTGGGGTTTCACCATGTTAGCCAGGCTAATCACACCCAACCAATACTGTACTTTAGAAAGCCTCTTCTGGGGACGGGTGCAGTGGTTCACGCCTGTAATCACAGCACTTTGGGAGGCTGAGAGCAGATCACAAGGTCAGGAGTTCGAGACCAGCCTGACCAACATGGTGAAACCCTGTCTCTACTAAAAATACAAAAGTTAGCCCAGCATGGTGGCATGTGCCTGTAGTCCCAGCTACTCAGGAGACTGAGGCAGTAGAATCAAGTGAACCCAGGAGGCCGAGATTGTGCCACTGCATTCCAGCCCGGGGGCCAGAAACAGCAGTGGCTCACACCTGTAATCCCAGCATTTTGGGAGGCCGAGGCAGGTAGATCACTACTTGAGGTCAAGTGTTTGAGACAGCCTGGTCAACATGGTGAAACGCCCTCTCTACTTAAAAAAAAAAAAAAAAAAAAAATTATGTGGGCATGATGGTGGGCCCTTAAAATCCCAGCTACTTGGGAGGCTGAGGCAGAATTGCTTGAACCCAGGAGCGGGAGGTTGCAGTGAGTGGAGATCCTGCCACTTCATTCCACTCCATTTCAAAACAAAAAAGCTTCTTCTGGAAGTGAAAGGGTAGAATAGCTGGGAAAATAGAAGCTAGCATAGTAATTAGATATGAAGGGATAGTAATTAGATATGAAGGGAGAGAATGAGGGATTCAATTATGCTCAGCAATGAAAAAGGCAAAAAAAAATGAGGGGGAGCCCTGGCCACAAGTGTGTGGAGAGATGACTTCTGGATCTGACAAATGTCATTTTTAGATAGGGTCTCTGTCACCCAGGCTGGAGTGCAGTGGCACAGTCATGGCTCATTACAGCCTTAACCTCAAAGACTTAATCAGTCCTCCCTCCTCAGTTTCCCGAATAGCTGGGACTACAGCCACATGCCACCATACCCAGCTAATTTTTTATTTGTTGAGACTCACTATGTTGTCCCAGGCTGATCTCAAATTCCTGGCTTCAAGTGATGCTCCCAATTCAGCCTCCTAAACTGCTGGGATTACAGGTGTAAGCCACTATGCCCAGCAGCAAATAAATCAAGATCTAGAGGAAGCATTCCAAAAGAGGTTCCAGAAGGAGGCAAAATACTTGAGTAGACATATCTCCAGCTCACACTTGAAATCTCAGCACTTTGGGAGGCTGAGACGGGCAGGTCACTTGAGCCCAAGAATTTGAAATCAACCTGGGCAACAAAGCAAGACCCATCTCTACAAAAAATACGAAAACTAAGGCCGGGCGCGGTGGCTCAAGCCTGTAATCCCAGCACTATGGGAGGCCGAGGCGGGTGGATCACGAGGTCAAGAGATCGAGACCATCCTGGTCAACATGGTGAAACCCCGTCTCTACTAAAAATACAAAAAATTAGCTGGGCATGGTGGTGCGTGCCTGTAATCCCAGCTACTCAGGAGGCTGAGGCAGGAGAATTGCCTGAACCCAGGAGGCGGAGGTTGCGGTAAGCCGAGATCGCGCCATTGCACTCCAACCTGGGTAACATGAGTGAAACTCCGTCTCAAAAAAAAAAAAAAAAAAGAAAAAGAAAATACGAAAACTAGCTGGGTGTGCTATCATGTGCCTGTAGTCCCAGCTACTCCGGAGGCTGAGATGGGAGGGTCAGTTGAACCTGGGAGATGGAGGTTGCAGTGAACTAAGATCACACCACGGCACTCCAGCCTGGGTGACAGAGTGAGATCCTGTCTCAAATAACAACAAAAACCGCTTATCTCCAAAGAAGATATACAAATGACCAATAAGTACAGAGAAGATGCTCGGCAAGCCAGGCACAGTGGCTCACACCTGTAATCCCACCACTTTGGGAGGCTCAAGTGGTCAGACTACTTGAGCCCATGGTTTTGGGACCAGCCTGGGCAACATGGCAAAACCCACCTCTACAAATACAAAAAATACAAAAATTAGCTGGGCATGGTGGCATGCACCTGTAGTCCCAGCTATTCAGAAGGCTGAGTTGGATCGCTTGAGGCTGCAGTGAGTGGAGATCACACCACTGCACTCTAGCCTGGGTGACAGAGTGGAACCCTATCTTTTTTTTTTTTTTTTTTGAAATGGAGTCTTGCTCTGTCACCCAGGCTGGAGTGTAGTGGCACCATCTCAGCTCACTGCAACCTCCGCCTCCTGGGTTCAGGTGATTCTCCTGCTTCAACCTCCCTAGTAGCTGGGACTACAGGCGAGTGCCACCATGCCTGGCTAATTTTTGTAATTTTAGTAGGACAGGGTTTCACCATATTGGCCAGGCTGGTCTCAAACTCCTGACCTTGTGATCTACCTGCCTTGTCCTCCCAAAGTGCTGGAATTACAGGCATGAGCCACCACGCCTGGCCCAAGAGTGGAATCCTAACAACAACAACAACAAAAAGGACAACATCATTATCACTAATCATTTAATCATTAGGGAAATGCAAATCAAAAGTGAGAGCCGGGGCATGATGGGTGGCTCCTACATATAATCCCAGCTACTCTAGAGGCTAAAGTGGGAGGATCCCCTGAGGCCAGAAGTTAGCAGAAGTTAGAGACCAGACTTGGCAACATAGCAAGATCTCATCTCTACAAATTTATTTTTTTAATTAGGTATGGTAGCTCATGCCTATAATCCCAGCACTTTGGGAGGCCGAGGCCGGGGGATCATTTGAGATCAGGAGCTTGAGACCAGCTTGGCCAACATAGTAAAACCCTGTCTCTACTAAGAATACAAAAATTAGCAGAGGTTTCAGTTAGCTGATATTGTGGCAATGCACTCCAGCCTGGGTGACAGAGACTCGATCTCAAAAAATTAAAATAATAATAATAATAAATAAATAATTAGCCTAAGACCAGGCCTAGTGGCTCATGCCTATAATCCCAGCACTTTGGGAGGCTAGGACAGACAGATTGCTTGAGCCCAGGAGTTCAAAACCAGCCTGAAAAACACAGTGAGACCCCATCTCTACAAAAAATTAAAAGGAAATTAGCTGGGTGTGGTAGCGTGTGCCTGTAGTCCCAGCTACTTGGGAGGCTGAGGTGGATTGCTCAAGGCTGCAGTGAGCCAAGATTGTACCATTGCACTCTATCCTGGGCCATAGAGTGGCAAAAAGTAAGTGGAACCTTTTTGGTTCTAGTCTAATCCATATGTATTGAATCTCAGATATAGTTTCACGATAATTGATATATTTTTAATATAAAATATTGATTCTTCCTATATTCATTCTTGTTTTGATAGTGATGGATTAATTCTACTTCTTTTAATTGTACAAAATATTTATTAAAAAGTTTATATTTTCTGAACACACAGGTATTTAATTATTACTTCCACCTCGCAAGACTCACATGAAAATAAAACACTTCAAATAGAAAAGAAGAAAAAATCAAAAGAAAACAAAAAAAAGAAAAGCTGGTTCACAGCATCTGAAGTACTTCTGGGCTCTCTTTCTGGTTCTTGAACGGGTGGGTCTGTGTGGGCTCCTCTGTGGACTTGAGCATTCCATATCTTCAACACCAGATTCCTTGCTTTCTTCTATTTCTTTCTTTCACTTTGTTACTGTTTTTGCTTTCAAACTTCCATTCTCCACAACACTGAGGTCCAATTTGCCATCATTCTTACTTCCTATAGCTTTTAGTCCTTGCAAAAGAATATCGCATATATTTTGATAAAGTGTTTTCAGTGTAGTCTAGTAATTTCACTGTTTCCATGTATTTGGCAATTTCACCTGGTTTTTCTCAGGAAAACATTTGTCCATCAAACTTGCAATATTTTTTCTATATCTAATTTTGGAATCTGTAACATATTTAGGATCTTTCAAATTATCCTCCCAAGGAAGATGGCCAGTAAGCCATTGGATCATGCAATAACCAAGTGTTTCCAAATCGCCAGGTCTTGATGGGGCCACGCCATGGTGTGCATCAATGCTTGTGAATTCAATAGTGCCATCGTGACATCTTTTGGGGTCTTGTTTGTATTCTTTATTAACTCCTTCTGGGCAGTACCGATAAGCAAGGCCATAATCTAGCAAGTACCCCTGGTCAGGATTCTTGCAGCTCAGAAGATTTGAGGCCTTGATACCTCCATGCACATACTCATGCTTGTGAATATATTCCAGAATATCCAGACTTCTTAAGCTTAGCTGCAGGACAGTTTTCGAGAAAACCTTTTGGCATTTGCCTCATATATTTTCTGAAGCTCACTACCAAAGTGATCCATTATCATAAACCTGTAACTTTTTCCATTTTTGTCATGTAGACCAGACCCCCAGTACTTAGGAAAGCCCAGGTACTTCAGCTTATGGGTACAAATCCATTTCTGAATTTGCTCTGGTTTTGCAGCTTGTCGGTAAAACTTTAATTCAGTAAAAACAGGTCCATTGTCACTGGGTTCCACTTTTACAACGCAAGGTGCATCACTTCCAGTTGACCCTGAAGAATTCATATCAGCAAGATATATACATACGAAGCCTCCTTGGCCAATGGGTAATCCTACTTTCCATTCCTTTTTTGCCATGTCAGTTATTATCTCCCCAGCTGCAAATTGTTCTGCAAGATGTCTCTTTGCAGGGCCCTGCCTGTCTTCCAGCTTGAGCTGCTTTTACACGAGGCATTTTCACCCAAGCCACAGACCCGTTGTCTTCTGCCCAGTACGAACTTCTCACTGCTTTCACCCGGATTAATTGTACTTCTTTTCCCATTAGAAAGATGCCCTCATTGGCCAGACATGGTGGCTCATGCCTGTAATCCTAGCATGTTGGGAGACCAAGGTGGGTGGATTACTTGAGGACAGGAGTTCAAGACAAGCCTGGCCAACCTGGTGAAACCCCGTCTCTACTAAAAATACAAAAATTAGCCAGGTGTGGTGGTTCATGCCTGTAGTCCCAGCTACTCAGGTGACTGAGGTAGGAGGATGGCTTAAGCCTAGGAGACAAGGGTTGCAGTGAGCCAAGATTGTGCCATTGCACTCCAGCCTGGGCGACAGAGCAAGACTCTGCCTCAAAAAACAAACAAGCAACAACAACAACAAAAAAGCACGATGCCCTCATGAACATACTAAGCCATGTCGCTTGGTGCACATGTATACAGGAGTTTCTCTAGTATCTGGAGTGGAATTGTTGGGTTATAGGCAGAGGTGAATTTATCATGAAGCTAATAAGCGAATCTACTGTTCATAATGTTATATTCCTTTTGTCAAAGAGAACTCCCCTCCAATTGTATAAGTTCAGGTCCTGGAATACCTGGATTTGCCCCCATCATTGTTTATGCCTATGTTGAACAGGATAGTGCAACTGTGGAAAATTCAAACAGCTTCTGTGCAGGAAATTGGGGTAATGGTGTTGGAAGGACTGGAGGAACAAAAGAGTGAAGGGGATTTTACATAGCAGTTTGGAAGCGCGTACCTCCCCTGGCTTGGAGTGCTCTCCTCTGTATTGAAGTGGGCTAGAAGCCCGTAAACTAAATCTTCCAGACGGCTTTTCCAGTGGGCTTCCAGTGCAGCCCTGTCAGGGAGACACTGGCAGTCGGAAGGCAGGAAGAAGGAATTTTTCTCATGATCACTGCCCTGGCAGGGCCAGCATCGGTAGTGGGTGAATTTGGGCAGTAACAGGCAGCGTCAGTCTCAGCAGAGGCAGCAGGGGTGAGTGCAGGTGCCTGGGTTCCAACAGCCAGGAGGGCAGCCACGCCTCCCATGGCTCTGCAGTTCCCATAGCTCCCTCTGTCCACAGTCCTCTCACACCCTCGGTTCACCAGAGTCCTTCAGCTCTGTTTTGATTGACAGGCCTTCATCATATGCATTTTCTTTCCATTAGCTCCATTTCCTTCCGTCCCTAGCAGGAATCTATGAACTTCCCTTGAACTCAGAGCTGTCTGGCAAGCACCCTCAGCGTCTTCATCTTGTTGACCTCCTGGGAATGGCACCTGCTTTACAGCTCCCTGTCCTGGATGCATCCTTCAGCCCTATTTCTCTTCCTAGTGCTGGTGACCCTCACTACTAGAAAACCGCAAGGGCCCTGCCAGCCCCAGTCCGCACACTGCTGCGTGGACACCATGGCTCCCTGTGCCTCCCTGTCTCTCAGTTGATGAGTTGCTGCCCCATCAACAGGTGTTGTCTGACACCTCTATCATCTATGACAACAGGTTTTTGTTTGTTTTGTTTTTTTAATAATAGAGATGTGGGCCAGGTGTGGTGGCTCATGCCTGTAATCCCAGCACTTGAGGAGGCTGAAGGGGGCAGATCACTTGAGGTCAGGAGCTCAAAACCAGCCTGGCCAACATGATGAAACCCTGTCTCTACCAAAGATACAAAAATTAGCCACATGTGGTGACGTGCAGCTGTAGTCCCAGGTACTCGAGAGGCTGAGACACAAGAATTGCTTGAACCCAGGGATCGGAGTTTGCAGTGAGCCAAGATCACATTACTGCACTCCAGCCTGGGCAACGAAGCGAGACTCCGTCTCAAAATAATAATAATAATAATAACAACAACAACAGTGATGGGATTTTTGCCGTGTTGCCCAGGCTGGTCTCAAATTGGGCTCAAGCGATCCTCCTATCTCACCCTCCCAAAGTGTTGAGATCACAGGTGTCAGCCACCATGCCCAGCCTAGAGAGTTTTCCTACCACGGAGTTGAAAGTGAATCTGTAGTACCTATAGGCTGTTGACAAAAGAAAAAAGGGGGAAGCAGGCTTGGTTCATCTCTGGCATACCCACCAGAGGGCAGCAGACACCGGCGAAAGCTCTGAGTGCTGGTTAAACAGTTGCGATGGCCAGCACGTGGGCAGAACCCACCGCGGACAGTCCTCAGAGGTAGGAATCTGCCGTGCATCTGGCAGTCTCTCTGCTGCCCCTGCCCCAGCCCCAGCCTATCCTTAGCTCCTTTCTCCGGAGCCCCGCAATGGTCCTCATGGGCTCTCCTGCTCCAGGCTGTCCTGACCTAAGGAATGTCCCCACTGCCCTCATCCCTTCACAGCTCCCCTCCAGATCATATTGCAAGCCAGAGTCCTCATGGTGGCCTCACAGCCCTGGCTGCTTGGAATTCTCACCCACTGCCCACTCACTGCGGCACCGCCAGCCTCCGGCTGTTACTCAGGGCCTCAGACACAGCCACACTCAGCGGCCATGTGCTTGTTCCCTCTGTCTATGAGCTCGTTCCCCAGGTGTCTGCAGAGCACACTTCCTCGAACTCCTTCAGGCCACCTCTGAGCACACCCCTCCAGTAGACACAGGTAGCACCACCACACCCCTTCCAGTGGGACCCGGGGAACAGCAGCCACCAGACACCCTCCAGCTCTCTGCTCCTGCAGAGCCCAGTGCGGCTGCACACAGCCTCACCCGAGGTCACACCCCGCCTAGGGCAGCCTCCATCTGGTGACTGAGCAAAGCAGGGGCTATAAGGAACTTACCGTTTCCATCTCATGTGGGACTCTGTCCAACTGTACTCGCTCCAGAACTTCTCCAAGACTTTGTTGGGCATCCATCACCGTTCAAGTTCTCCCTCTGCCCAATCCTGCTTCGGCCTGCTCCCTTCCACAGTTGTTGGCTCCACATTCCATCTCAGCAGATGCCACTGAAGAGCTCAGCCTGCAACACTCCTGCTCCACCCATCCCCATCCTGCTCTGCTTTTCTCTGCAGAACGTATCACCTCCTCACAATTCACTTTACTTTCCCAGTGCCCTCCCTCATTAGAATGTAAGCTGGGTGAGGGCAGGAATTTTTGTCTCTTTTCTTCACTCATGTATCCCTAGCATCTAGAAGAATACCTCTGATACAATAGTTGTCCAGAAATGTGACGAATGAGACAAAGACCTGCGGTCAATTTGGTGTAGCTGGAGAAAGATGTGCTTTCGCGAGGGTCGCAAAAGATGACAAAAGAGTGTATTTAGCCTGGTTTCCCCAAAGGCTGAGCTGAGCGGAGGTCCTTTATTAAGAAGGAAACCCCAGCTGGGAGTGAGGCAGAAGTAGGAGAGGCCTGGGCAGGTGGGTGTTGTCAAAGCGGAGGAGCCTGCTGTGGTCTGGGAAAAGCCGGCAGAGTCTCTCCCAGAGCTGGATACCTGCCAGACAGGTGACTGAACAGCTTTCTTTTTATTTATTTATTTCGAGACAGGGTCTTGCTCTGTTGCCCAAGCTGGAGTGCAGTAGCGCAATCATGGCTCACGACAACCTCAACCTCCTAGGCTCAAGTGATCCTCCCATCTCAGCTTCCCGAGTAGCTGGGACCACAGACGTGCACCACCATGCTCAGATAATTTTTAAATTTTTGGTAGAGACAATGTCTCACTATGTTGCCCAGGCTGGTCTCAAACTCCTGGCCCCAAGTGATCCTCCTGCCTCAGCCTCCCAAAGTGCTGGGATTACAGGTGTGAGCCACCATGCCCAACTGCTAGAACACTTTTCTGTCATCTTCTGTCTCCACTAGATGGAGGTTCAACCCAATAGGGCTGGTTGCCTGCGCCCCTGAGCTATCTGCTGAGCCTGCCCCTCTACCTCATTTTGGAGGAGCCCCAGGGCACAGGAGACTCACATGTGAGGTGAGAGCTAAGCACACAAACGAAGTCAATGATGACATCCAGGGAGAGTCGATGGGATGGAATGTCCATCCTGAGAGGAAGGCAGGGGCTGTGGGGGCCGTGCTGGGAGGAGGTGGGAGAGATGCAGTTAATTTTTGTATTTTTAGTAGAGATGGGGTTTCACCATGTCAGCCAGGTTGGTCTCAAACTTCTGACCTCAGGTCATCCGCCTGCCTCAGCCTCCCAAAGTGTTGGGATTACAGGCATGAGCCACTGTGACTGGCCACCAATGCATGGTTTAGACCAGCCACTGAAGCCACAGCATTGGCTGCCTCAGAAGGGGTGGGGCAGGAGGCTGGGAGGGGCTAAGCCAGGACTTTCAGTGGGGAGGGACAGGAGAGGAGAAATGTTAAAAAAGAAAACAAAAAACTATCCAGGGACAGGTGTGGTGGCTCATGCCTGTAATCCCAGCACTTTGGGAGGCCAAGATGAGAGGATCGCTTGAGCCCAGGAGTTCAAGACTGCAGTAAGCTATGATTGTGCCACTGCACTCCAGCCTGGGCAACAGAGAAACACGTTATCTCAAAAAATAGAAAAACAGGCTGGATGTAGTAACCCACGCCTGTAATCCCAGCACTTTGGGAAGCTGAGGCAGGCAGATCACCTGAGGTCAGTAGTTTGAGACCAGCCTGGTCAACATGGTGAAACCCCATCTCTACTAAAAATACAAAAATTAGCCAGGCATAGTGGCACACTCCTGTAGTCCCAGCTACTCAGGAGGCCGAGGCACAAGAATTGCTTGAACCCAGGAGGCAGAGGTTGCAATGAGTCGAGATCGCGCCATTGCACTCCACCCTGGGTAACAGAGTGAGACTCAGTCTCAGAAAAACAAAAACAAAAACGAAACAAAAATAAAGTCTCTGGAAATGATCCTAAGGGCATTCAGAAAACAAATATTTATTCAAGTAAATCTACTAAAACTTGGTAAGACTAATCAAAGCTATCATATTTAAGCCAACATGCATTTCTTCTTTCTTCCTTCCCAGTTCACTGAGGTGGAAGGTCCACTCCTGACTGGTTCAGCCAAGAACACAGGGTTTCCTCTCCAACTAGCTCCCAGTCAGAGAACTGTCTTCCCAAGAGGGATAGAATGCCGGCATTTTCCACGCGGTCCCCAGCTACCTGTTGCTGAGACTAAGCTCTGTATGAATATGGCCAAGATGGTAGCTCTCTTAGTCCACCCCGGCCCCATGCAGGGGTTAGAGACTCTA